GCTGAGCCCCCGGGCCGGCTGCAGAGCTTCTCCTCCGGGGCGGGGGCTTCGGCAGCCCTGGGGGCGTAGGGGTCTGACAGGGGCCCACTGCCCAGCGCCAGGTTCTCCTCGTTGCAGAAGATGGCCCAGTTCTGCTCGCTGGAGAGCTTGTTGTAGGCCTGGTAGGGTGGCGTGTGGCTCTCGGCCATGGGCAGGAAGGGGTAGTGCTTGGGCGGGTAGGGACCCACGACCACGTCGTCGGCAAAGGCGTCCCGGCTCAGGCCAGCCGGTCCCGACACCTTCTTGATGTTGCTAAGCAGGTTCTTGCAGCAGAGGTGGAACAGCTCCACGAGGTTCAGGATTAAGGAGATCAGGCCCATCACCAGCATGAAGATGATGAAGATGCTCTTCTCAGTGGGGCGGGAGATGAAGCAGTCCACCTGATGGGGGCAAGGGTCCCTCTTGCACACGTAGCGGGGCACCATGGAGAAGCCGTACAGGTACCACTGCCCAACGAGGAAGCCAGCCTCGAAGATGCTCTTGCAGATCACGCTGATGATGTACGTCCACATCAGCGCCCCTCGGATCTTGAGCCGCCCGTCCTCCGTCACGTAGATCTTGGACATCTTCTTCTCCACGGCTGCCAGGGCCTGCTCGATCTTTGGGTCCTTGCTGTGGATAGCCCGAAGCTCGCTCTCCTGCTGCTTCAGCTTCTCCTCCTTCCGGGAGAGATAGATAACGTGGCCGAGGTAAATCAGGGTTGGGGTGCTGACAAAGAGGAACTGGAGCACCCAGTAGCGAATGTGGGAGATGGGGAAGGCTTTGTCATAGCAGACGTTGGTGCAGCCCGGCTGCTTGGTGTTGCACACGAAATCCGACTGCTCGTCCCCCCACACGGACTCCCCGGCCAAGCCCAGGATGAGGATGCGGAAGATGAAGAGCACGGTGAGCCAGATCTTCCCGATCACAGTGGAGTGCTCCTGGACTTGGTCCAGCAGTTTCTCCAGGAAACCCCAGTCGCCCATCTTCTAGGGAACCCCGTGCCTCTGCCAGCAGAGAGAGGAGAGCAGGGGAGGGGAGAAGAGCCAAGTCAATTCTCCGTTTCCACGCTGGAGAGCACGGGGCAGACAGGGCTGCCCAAACCCCAGGCGTTCTCAGGACACGGCTGCTCTGCAGAGGGTCCCCGCAAACCCAGACCCACCGAGGAGCACCCCACAGCTGGGAGAGGGAGCCAGGCAGGATTTCTGAGCCCAGGAGGGCTCCCACTGCACCCCACTGCCCAGTACAGACACACGGGGCTGGGGCAGAAGGGGCAGCGCAGGGATTCACCTCC